TTTTTTGGCAGCAAAATTTACCAATGGAGTTTCATAGCACTTTCAAAATGCCATCTGGAATGATGAATTTTTGGTGCTCCATAGGCCACAAATGGGACCCCCCTGAAACTCCAGAACAAGCAGTCAGAGAAGTGAGCCAAAGTGGCTTTTGAAATATCTTATCACGCCCAACTTTTGTGCCAAGTTTCAGCCGAATCGGTTGACCACCACTTTTGGCCTCTGGAACACTTTCTCAGACGGGAACACTTAATTCTAGAATGTTTCTTCACGATTTGTTTCGCCTCCAAGTGTTCGGAGCGTATATGTAAGTTCTTGATGGACGTTAACTCTTTATAAGAGAGACGACAGAAGGCAATCCATTTCTTTCTCAGTCTCTCTTCGCCTGGAAACTCGAAAAAGTTGAGGTCCGGCCCTTTTTAGAGATGTTTATATATATATATTCTCTCCGATCCGCCTAGATGAGCCTCGACTTGGCGCTGATAATTAGTTACCAGACTTTCTCGCACAAACAATTCGAAACTAGCCAAACTAGCAACAAGGAAAACTCTAAAAAGAGCAACAAACGGGCAAAAAAAAACCCAAAGGTTTAGAGGAACTAACGTAGCAGTTGGACACCGAAGAAAACTAGTACTGCACGAACTGTTTTAATGTAACAATCGGACACAAAGGATAACTAAAAGTCTGCGAGATACTAGCGTAACTAGTGTTACGGGAAAATTTAGTGATTTTCTTTCATACGATCAAACTTAACACCAACCTTGCTTAGATAAGCGGAAACTTTTGATTGTATTTTGCATTTTATTTTGTAGTATATTTTCGGTATCAAAGTTGTGAATTCTCACATAAGTCTCCTATTTTTAAAAGCCTAATTAAGCCTTGGTCAAACGGCGCATGATAGTCGACGATAGTTGATTCTCTTCAAACTATCATCAACTATCATCAACTATCACCAACTATCATTCGCATGGTCAAACGGCCAAAAAAGTTCGTGATAGTTGATAGTTCACCGGTAGTCGTGTGTACCGTTGCACTTATGTCCTCTTGTTGTGGATATGTCCTCTGACGTAATGTGATACAATGGCNTTTTTTAAGCTTTATCATTTGTTGTATTTTAACATGAACAAGAAACATGAAAATGTGACCTAATTTGGTACAAGCTGAAGTATGATTGGTTATCAAACATTTCAATCTTTGATCAATCCAAGTGGGATGTTTCACTAACTTTAATGATAAATGAATGACACCATAGTTTTTAAACATGGCTAAGATGTTAAGTAATTGTTACACTGCATACACAGCCCTACCAAAATGTGGTGACAGGCGACAATTTTGCCACCCACAGTCAATTTTTTGCTACCTAACTCACATTGAACCAATCCTGCCCACTATTACAAAACAGTTTGGCAGGGCTGTGTACAAGTAAAGATTACTCATGAATGATAAGGTATGTCCAAGTTAAGGCAGCTGCTAACAGTTTCTAGCCCTTCCCAAGACTTTAATTTTGCTGTTTCATTACCCGTATAACCAGTTTTGGTTACAATCATGACATGAAACAAATGACCAGCCATTGGTGAAAATGTTGTAATCATTTTTGTGACACAACTGATTACCATAAAGAGCCACCTTAAAATTTTCTACAACTTCAGGTGGCTTTGAAACCCTTGAACAGATTTTCTTTTAATTTTTCGAAAACTTGCATCTTGATTACCCTGCTAATTAAATTGTGGTGATGAAAAAATGGGATCACCAAGGTCATTTTGAGTTAATAGTGCCTCAAGCTTACCTTAAGAGGTTTTATTTTGCAGCTTATACTGTTGCTATGGGGATAACATGTTCACCAATGATTGGGTATTTGTATCAAAACAAGGTTTTATATCAACTGATATAAAGTGCTTACAATTAAGCATCAAAACCTAATTTATAAGTCTTATAAAGGGCTGGAAGCTTTTGCTAGCCTCCCTAAATTCATACCTACATGAAAGTTAAGCTGGAGAAAGATTGGTGAAAGCAGATTCAAACTTAGAAAATATTGTGGCTAAACACACCACATATCAAACCCAGTTAGGCCAAGAAAGAAGTTGAAGATGTACCAATATAGAAGGCCTTTGATATTACATAGCATTATACAGTGTATATATTTGAATGTATGGAAAAATGTGTACATGAAAATGAATAGTTCACTATCACTTCAATAAAATGTAATTGGAAACATCTATCATTGCAATTTAAGCAAGTGTTGAACTCGTCAAGACAAATAAGCTTGGGAAATGATGCCTGAAAGGATGGTGGGGCCAAACAAACTGAACTGAGCACAGGGTATCCATGACAACCCTGTGAGTGACAACCACCAGGCACCATCACACTGAACTAACAGTGGAAACAAAAGGATACCTATCACCAAAACAAAGGGGATGGGTGGGCCTGAAGTAAAGCTTAACGATATCTGTCCAGCAGCGAAAAACACATGGAATGACTTGACATCCAAAGCCAAGCTGTAAAATTAAAGAGTCTTTACACAAATCCTCTGGCCACCCAGTACACCACCCTGAAGGAGACTGTGGGTCAGCAATATTGTTTCACGTTAAACTTAGCCTAAATTACATTTAGGGCCCCAGATCTAAATGAAAGAAACAGTAAAACTTTTCTTATTAAATTTCTGCTTGAATAAGACTGTAATTTGTCATTTCAATGTTGCAAATATTATGTCATATTAAAAACCAGATAAATTTATTGAACTCCTGAAAAGTGGATTAAAGATTACCAAATGTATCTTAAGATGGACACATAATATGGACAGCTACATTTATAATGCCACTTCCATGAGAATCCCATACTCAAATCCTGTTACACAAAAGGTCAAGATGACCACTGGTAAAAGCTACCTACAGCTGGGTTGCCAAGCTGACTACTACTTGCCATTGGATAGTGAGGCTGTGAAAACGTTAATGACAAATCACTACCAGAAGTCATGGATTGCTCCATGTCCATCTGCAGTCCCCAAATTATATCACTGATTTTCTTCTCTGCTATCATCCTTCGTCTGCTGTCCAACAGTTTCAGCTTTTCTGTGATGTAGCTTGCAAAGCTTGCTTCTGCACTGGGGCCTGCTGTAACAGAGAACTCGGGAGTTTTCATCACCTTAAGACATTACATCATTAGCTCGTTTTTAACTTCTGTAATTGCTGTCTGAGCTTTCCTGTCACACTTCCCTGACTTAGTCTTTCGTTGCTTAACAGCAGGGGAAATGGGTACTGAAGAAGCCTCCTCATCTGCAGCATCTTTGGTGTTAGAGTTCTGGGGACTTTCGTCAGGTAGTATATCTCGGCTTGAGCGAGGATTTAATACTGGCAAGAGGAACTAGAGTGGCTTCCAAAAAATCCATGTTGGCTTGAATAGTTCATCAGTGCTTTGCCCTGATTTCACCTCTTTAATTCTTTTCTGATTTTGGCTCAGAATTTGCCTGAGTTTTGTCAGCTGGCTGCTGATTTCCCTCCACTGGAGACCAAATATTTCCTATAAACAAATCATGTTGTTAAAAAGGCAGAGAATTTCTACTGTTAGAAAATGTTCAAAGGAGAGTCTCCTGTCATGCTTTTGGCCAAAAACGCGGTGAACTGGAATGCGAAGATCGATTAAAGACGCTCAAATACTGTGGCCTACACTAGTCTTTATCACGCGCGTAGAGCGCATCTTTCCCTTGTCGAATGTTAAAAGACTGTTTTCTGAATCAACATGCTCAACTCTATTGACTTATATAATTCTATTTAAGTATAAGGGTCAATAAAGTTGTTGTTGCTGTTGTTAGTTTGACTTAACTGAGTTCAAACACACTCTTTTATGTTATCCACAAAATCAGCCAGCCGCCGATTGTGAGAGTAGAACCTAAAGCAAATTGTTAATTTAAGCAAATTGTTATTTTACGAGTGCGATCTCACCTCCATCTCCCGCTTAACTTTTCCTGTGACATCTCTATTGTGGTAATCAGTGGAAAAAATGTCCCAAAGGCAAGGCCGCGCCTCATATGCGTCTATTAGACGTAATGTCAGGTCATTACTCCATATCGCCGTTGAACGTTTAGTGAAACTCTGTTTTTTCGGCGGTGTCTCTTGGAATTCCTGCGAGTTGACGCTTTCTCCTGATTCTTGGTTTTCAATATTTTCTTTCTCATTATTATTATCTTGGGTATAAAAACGAATTTCTGAAGCTGAAGCTAAGCCTCGCGAGGAGCTTTTGGCGGCCATCAGTAAACGAGTCCGCCGATTTTCGGAGAAAACAGCTGACCAAAAACTATCACGAACTATCATACGCGTGGTCAAACGAGAAAAACTATCATCGACTATCATAAAGAATTTGAACAAGCTCAAAATGAATGATAGTTGGTGATAGTCGATGATAGTGCATGATAGTTGGTGGTCAAACGAAAGCGCGCGCTTCAACTATCATCGACTATCATCAACTATCATCGACTATCATGCACCGTTTACTGAGTCTGTTCTTTCATTTTTGGCATATCAATATTTCAATGTAAATAATTTAACCTCAAAGACACGTTTTCCGCTCATATTCAGATATTGTCAATTTAAAGGACGAATAGAACCACGCGCTCGATAGTACCTAAGCAAGCCTTGATGATTGCATCTTTGATTAGTATAGGTAATCGCACGTGGCCGAGTAAAATTAAGGATAAAATATCACGCGTGTTTTTCGGAAGTTGCTGAAATTGCTCGAGTCGCGCAGTGACGAAGGCAATTTCTGCAACTTCCGAAAACACAAGTGATATTAATCCTTAATTTTACGAGAAACCATGTGACTACTTGTTTATAATATAAGGGGAAAAATGTTTTTTTACTGATCTCGCGCAAAACGGGACGCCATTGTTATAAAACAAACAGAAATTTCTTTACCTTGGCAGCCGTTGCTAAGCGATTTTCAGCCAATCATTTTCAAGTAATTTTGCGCGGGGCAATTAAAAAAATTAAGAAAAAATGCCGTCTGTCTTGACCAATCACAATTCACTAATTTTGCCCCTTATATGATAATTAAACTGAAGAGGCTAGATCACGTCTGTTGTTGGCCTGACCTAGAATAAAGTTTACTATGGAACCAAAACGCTGTCTCGTCCTTGACGTCCGTACAAGCTCGCTCGAAGTAGATCCCCGTGTGCCAGGAAATCGTGACGAGTTTCTGTTCTCGCTGCCAAGTGGTCTCTACCGAGTTAATTTTCCCCAGTTATTGTTGTGCCGACCGCGAAGGTTTAGTTTCCCAGTTTGGGCCGCGAAATTTATCGTCACACAAGGAAGAACAAAAGTGCATTCGATTTTAACGTGGCAATCGGAACATGCATAGCGGTATGATAGATCTGGAAATGGCTGTTACAGGCATGATAGTAGTCTAAGTGGTTCTGAAGGTGGCGCTGAAGATTCCGCGGTTTTGTGCACAAAAGCAGGTAACTGGACATCTTCTGTCGAAGGCTTGATGTGGAATGTACCAAACTTAAAAAAATTTCATCCGAACCTCCACAATTAGCTTCCTAAGTCAAATTTCGAAAAAGACTAGTTTTAACAATTTTTATTAACATCTTCTTTTTTCTACTAAATGTTTTGAAGATCTTTTTTTTTTTCTACTAAATTTTGTGAAGTGACTTGTCCTCGTGAGCCTCTAAGCCTTATTATAATTTCCTTTTCATACATGAAACGCCCTGGTGACGAGAGAGACCACCGGCTGCTTTTCCCGCCATTTTCTCGCGTAAGCCGTTTGCCTCATATATAGCTGACGAAGTCGTGTGAGGAATAAACACTTTGGACGAGATTTCCCACGAATTATCGTGCCTGAGGTAAAAGAATTTCTTGTTTTTATGTACACCCTTTTTATTCTCAAAATGATTGTTTGAATTTTATTTTACAGTGAAAGCTTCTTAGAGGTTCTTAAGAGAAAACCTGAACGATGCACTGCCCCACTACGCGAGCTTTATCCACCGCTGTATACTTTGGGTCGCTCGAGGTAAGTTTGAGAGAACAAACTGTCCTTTTCTTCATATTTTTATGTATTTCCTCGTTGCTTTATGTCTTAAAAATAACATGTCCTGATATTATTTAAGTGGAGGCTTATTTTTCGACCTCTTTTTGTTTCCTGGATCGATTGAAAGCCCCATCAAATTCGTCCACCTTTTTAGTAACAGACCACTTAAATTCCCCATTATTTCTCTCACTCAGGTAACTCGTCAATGGCCGGTCAAACTGCTTTCTAGGTGTTATCATTGTTAGGATAGAAATGAGGCGATTTGAGTTGCTGGGTTCCAGTTAAAGATATTCAATTTTTTTTTTACGAATAATCGGAGGACATGTTGGACGCCCATGTGCCATCACTAAGAGCAAAATTTTGTTTCAATAATTTACAGTTCAAAACAAATGAAACCATATTGCCTTGCAATCACAGATTGCAGGAGATTTTGAAATTGGTTTTTTTTTTTTTTTTTTAAAATCAGACACATTTTGGCTACTCCAGTTGTGAGACGTTTTTGTTCTCACAACATTTTGACATCATCTGATATATTACTGAACAAGTAATATAGCAATGTGGAATCTAATTGGATAGAGAAAGCTTGCTGTGAAATTACTGTCCTGACACACTCCATAATAGAAAGGTCAATTACTGGAGTCTGAAAGTTTGAAACTAAATGCAGACACCTCATTATTTACATTCCAGTTCATGGCATGAGATGGTGTTGACGAGAGTGCTATGTTGAGTACGCAGATGCAAAGCATGGAGAAGTTGTTGATCATAGTTGTTTTTATTTTGCTCATTGTGCAAGAAACATGTGTGACAGGAGGTAAAATGTGTAATGTTCAGACAAACATATCTATTGTGTCTACAGGATACCATTTTATTTTGAATGAGGATGTCTTTAAACCTCTTTTTCTGTGTTTATTAACTTACACTCATGAATAATTAACCGCATGGAAAAATTCTGTGCCTGAAATTCTGCCCACTAGTTCTTTAAGTACTTTTACAAAAAAAAATTATTTTGCTATATACATTCTCTTAAAATGATACAACAGACTGCACCATGATTTCTATGTTTTGTTCATATACGGAGTGTCAGCCAAGTTTGAACCAACTGTCAAATAACATACTGGTCAAGTATCAACAGACTCTTGACCAAGATATATTGACCAATATACTGGGCAAGAGTACCTACAGCAAACTTGATCCAATAAATCAATATGAGATTGTCATTAATTGATTTTACTGTAGTTACAAATTTATGATATTATTAGTTTAAAGTGAACATACCATTTTTATATTAATTATTTCTCGTTCATCATATTTTGTATCATGTACCTAGAAACCAAAGGGCTCAGAGTTGTGAACAGAAGCCAAACCTCAATCACAGTCAGTTGGAACCCCATGGAGTCTGTGTCAGGATATACTATAAAATATGACAAAATTAACAATCCTGAATACATAATCGTACGATCTGAAACTACATTTGAAATAACTGGACTTGAGATCAACACTATCTACAAAATTCAGGTTGGTGGATTAAAAGATGTTGATGGGGAGGAAAAACCTGAGTCATATAGCAGTATACTGGAAGCCAGGACATTGTCAAGTAAGTACAGTACAACAACATATGTTAACACCAAATTTGGTGTTGTTTTATTATTTAAAAAAAGCATTGATTGCAATAGCTTGTTTCATTAATCCTTCACAGACTTAATAAGCACCTCCCTCAATTAAGCTTTAGCCTCCTTCCGCTAAGGGCCCTTCCTTTTGGCTGAAATTTTAAATTAGTTCCAAGGTGCAAATTTGAGGAAATATAGTAATCAATGTGGTCACAAGATAGCTGGGCTGTAGCTGGATGCAAGAGGAGAAATTCCTATATTTACTGCTTCTGTGTATTGTTCAAGTGAAACAAGTAGTTGTGATGAAACAAAAATGCAAGTTTGTTCAGCTCCCAATATTTTCAAGGGTGGGAAGGTTTGTAATAAATTGATGTTGAAATATTGAATGGACGTGTGATTGTTGTGAGTCCAATAAATACAAAAATTGAAGAACACAATATGAGCAACTCTGTCTATTTTGCTCTATGTGTGTTTTATATTTTACTGGTGAATTTTGTGCTGTCTTCTTTTGGAGGCAAAGTTGTATCGAAATTAATGGCCATGAAGTCGTAATATGAAGCAAAATTAAACAACACTCTAATCAGTCATCATTGAAATATCACCTCCTCCTCGTCTTCCTCTTTCTCCCACTCATCCTTTTCCCTTTTATTTTTAAAGATGTACATAAGGGAAATTAATACTGTAATCTCTAATTGGCGACCCATATTAAATCATGATTGTAACAGATTAGGGAAAAGTCTAGAAAAAATTTTTTTTCAGGTCAGGGAAAAGTCATGGAATTTTATTTGAGTCAGAGAAATTTATTTCTTTGAAATCAATTCGAGGGAAAGTGAAATCTTTAGAAACTCTTGTCCTGGGCCTCTTTGTGATGAATGATGCAGACACTTTAAGGACATTCTATAGATTCCAGACAAGCATGTTGTTTCCCCTTATTTTAATCCAAGTTCAAGTTGGTTTGTGAATGAGTTGGAGTTATCTTTAATGATGATTTAAAACATCTTTTGTGAAACCTCTTTTGGGATATTTATAATATACATTGTACTTTTGCCATTTTCAGATCACAAACTCAAACAAATGGGGTAACTGCTTCAACATGTAAACAACCAAGACGCCTATGTTCATAGAGGCAGCCACATGTATATTTAGAAAATGATATAATTAGACAACTGTCATTATTTGGGGGGGGGGGCTACGCCCTGCTTATTCTGTGGAGGAGGTTGGTAAGGCCAGGCATTTGTAGCCAATGGTTCCCCTGAATACTTTGGCTATGCCTTTTTTTCTTGTGCACAACATGCTTAAAAACCCTGCAGATAGCATAGTGACCAGTTCCTACAGGTGCATTAAAGGCTAAGTGACCATTAAGACAGAGTGAAATGTAATAATAGCAAAAAGTAATGATATTAATAATAACAATAATAATCTCCAAAATAGTAATAAAAATTATGCTAAAATGCTTAAACTTAAAAAAAGTGCATTAAAATTTCTAAGAAAAATCTAAGAAAAACTAGTGGATACACACACATTTAGGTCTAGGCAGCCACTGCCAACAAAGTCCCCTATTTTGTAAAAAGGTGTCCTTTAATCCCTTAGACTTGTGTGTACTGATCTTAATATCTCAAAGGAAAACAATGTTCTGATCCGTGTAATTGAAGATTGTGGACACTGACTTGCTCTGGTTGCACTTAGAATTAACATGTGTTGGTTTTTGATGAGGAAGGAAAACCAGAGAACCAGAGGAGAAAAACCCTCAAAATATATTGTAACTTTTTAAGTGAGACCTTGGCTCCTCTTGAATAGTCACTAATGGAATGGTTTACATTAATTGTTGCCCTACAGATGATCTTTGTGATTCCAGTCCATGTCAAAATGGAGGAACATGTCAAGATGGTGGTCCGCCATCTAGTGAATCATCCCTTCCAATGTACTGTCAATGTGCTGAAAAATTTAGTGGTCGATTCTGTGCTGTGCCTAAAGATAGTGCAGGTAATACTGACTACTGTAAAGTTAATGTTATTATTTGAAACATGGTCTGTAAACGCTCTACTATAAAGTTTATTACCATTCAGCCAGATTTAGAATATTGGTATTAACTGATCCACTTGTCTTAAGTCAGGGAAACATCCTCTAACTGCATGATTGTACTTGTGTATTCAGAGTACTGGTAAGCTAGAAAATATGTATTTCACCAAAAGAAATTGCCAAAAAAAATTAATAAAAAAATGTTCAGTTCTTTGCAACATGTGACATTGGTACATTCACCATGCACAGTGAGATTCGTCTTCATGCTGATGCATTTAGTTTCCCCTGAGCGTGAAGAAGGACACGAAATTTTACTATTTATCTCGGTACAGTTTCGGTCATTTAGCTGAAGGCGAAAACTGGGAAGACGTTTCTCTTGATTTATTCATAAGTACGCTGAATCTGGAACTGCAAATAAGCACAGAGCAACATTCTAGTTGCAAAATACAGCTGTCTGCAAAATTTCACAATACTGAAAAAACCTTGTGAGGTAAGTTTTGTAAGCCCTAACCAAAGCCAAATAAATTTCAAGGACGCAGAAGATTCCCTGAAATGAACACAATTGTGGAAAATAATTGTGATAAAATCCCAGTCCTCTCTGTTGTAGCGTAAGGATACTGAAGCGGTACTTCAGCAATCATTTCATCAACATCTCTAGAAAGCAAAGACTGAGCGAGAGATCTACAAGAATTGCTCTCACAATTGGTTAAAAAAAAACGCTTTGTAAGGGCAGCATTTGATGTCAACATTAGACGTTCATCTTGGTGCTGCAGGATTTTTGCAATGGATGACTGGTGAAAGTCAAAATCATCGATTCTCATTGTACCTTGCGTGTTTTATGAATATCGTTTGTTACGTTATGAGTCATTTCCTGTTTAATATGTTAATTGGTTACCTGATCTGTCTTGTATGTATTGAATGACCAGAAGGAATAAAAACACATCTTACAGACCAGATTCGTGTACAGAACACATCTTTAAACAGTTTATGCTTAGATTCTTGTTTCAATTGCTTTTAACCTTTTTAGATTGTCAGACTGCACTTGGGATGGAAAATTATGGAATACCCAATGAACGAGTGCAAGCATCTTCGGAATGGAAGTTCGATAAAGCTATTCACGGAAGACTTCATTTCCAATCACGTTCAGGAAATCAAGGAGCATGGTCTGCCAAAACTAAAGATGCAAATCAGTGGCTTCAAATTGATCTGGGAAGTGTGTTCACCAAGGTTACTGGTGTTGCAACTCAAGGAAGATACATGTATGACCAGTGGGTGACAAAGTACAAGGTACAGTTCAGTAACGGTGGCTCTACCTTCACCAACTACAAAGAACCTGGGCAAGCTGCAGACAAGGTAAAATAGAGTAAATAGTTCTGGCTCATTCACAAGGTTCCTTGAGCTTCACTTTTTGTCACGTTTTCATCCTCCAGTCCGCTTAGCCCTTTGAATTCTTTCATCATTGTCCTTGAAGGAGCACTGAAAAACAATTATTATTTCTACACCACTAATCTCATAGTTCCACACAACTGCGTTTTCCGCGACGGAATATCACTTTCAATTATTGCTTATACCATTTTCAGTAGGAGTGTTACACTTTAAATCCTTTTTCTTGTAGGTTTTTGATGGAAACACTGATCAAAACACAGTTGTCAAACATTTCCTCCACGCACCATTTAGGGCTCGTTACATCCGTTTTCAACCAGTGACTTATTATGAGCGCATCTCAATGCGAGTGGAGTTGTATGGTTGCTCAGGTACTGTGTTATTTAATCAGCCCTCTGTTAATTGCCTCCAAAGTACATGTAGTTTAAAGAAGGGTTTCACTGCGGAATTTTTCTTAGACTAGTTTGTCTCCCCCTCACTCTACCTTCCTCTCTTCCCCTTCCTCCCTCTCTCCCTCTCTCGCTCTCCCTTTCCCCTCCACAGGGAGATCTAAGAGTGGTTTCTTTTTCAATCAGACTTCGTATGCCAAAGCCCAGATGTGATCCTGCCAAATATCTCACCAAATGCATCTTCAAACATAAGCATTCACAGATTGAGACAGTTTACAATACAATCTGATGTCAAATTCAATTGTAACATATATTACAAAGCTTCGTTCCTCTGGCGTATTTACCAACTGGGCAAAGAAGAAACACTATTACTTTCAAGAAATAGCTTCTCAGAATTGCAGATAACACCACACTTGTTGCCAGTTGGTGAATTTTTGGTTCGACTCAATGTCAGCCTGATAGGAACAGCAGTGTTTGGGGTAGGTCATGGTTATTTCAAGGTGGAGAGAAGCCCTTTAGTTGCATTCATTGCTGGAGGAAATAAGGTGGCGAAAGGACTGGACAGAACATTGATTTTTGATGCATCCCTATCATATGATCCTGATGAGAAAAGTCTGCGATTTTCAGGTTAGTAAGCAAGTACACTATATGTCTTTTGACAATATTTTAAGGAGAAATCGCAAAAAGACGAAGCAAACTTTTCGGGAAGGGTGGAAACAAGTTCTTGACTAATTGCCTATTACTGGTGACATAACTTAACCTCTACATTCAACCCTATTTTGTGCCGTTTTAGGCCTCAATTTTACATGGCAGTGCAAAGAGTCACCTCGGCATCTTAATAACTCAGATGAACCAGGATGTCACTATAGGGCTGATGATAAAGAAACTGTTGGATATGAACTTAGAATCAACAACAGTCTTCTGGCGGAAAATACCTCATACTTTATAACAGTACAGGTTACAAAGCATGAGAGGCAAGCTGTGTACACCCAGGAAGTGTTTATAGTTCCTGGTGACCCACCAGAAGTGCAAATCAGGTATTTGAAACCTAAGAAACCAGGCGCGGCTTGAACTTCACCTGATATTGACCAACTTTACAAAATCAACTTTAAAAAAATCAATTGTGCTAACTTCGTGCATTTGAAAAACCTTCAATGCACCAGTGACAACTTTCTCAAATTATATCTTCATTTATCGTTGTTGGTATAGTACTATCAAGTCTCTAGACTATTGTCTTATTTCAAGTAACACATACATTTAGGAATCCAAAAGTGTGTTTATACTTACTCGTAAATATTTACGTATCTAGTATACACATGCAAATAAATAGACAATAAATAAATGTATAGGAGAAAAAGTGTTCATAAATAATAAAAACAAATTTAGGTAGGCTTGGGGTGTGCTGTATACCTTTAAATCAGGGAACGATTTCCTTTATTATTCGCTCGCGTATTTTGTCGATACTGTAAGCAAGCATTGAACAAATGAAGAAATGGTCGAAGCAGATAGGTGACCGGTGGTGTAGGTTCAACTGTAAATCTCATCCTTTTCAAAGTGAAAAATATAGTCAATATATCAATAAGTCAATTGTTTTTAACTGCATTACCTAAACGACATACAGGTGTGTTGAAAACTGCGCTGCCAAACTAAACCCATCTGGGATAATGGCGTTACAGGGCATGTGTACAGGTGCCTCGTGTCATGGAAACCTTATCTTCGAGTGGACAGCTTTGAAAGACTTGAATAACTCTTCAAAGAGTTCTCATTGGGCTGAGATTTCACACATACAAGAGTTGATAAGTACTAGGGTGTCATCAAAATCTTTCGTCACTAGGCCTGAAGTGCTGACACCCGATACCAGGTATAAGTTCATACTGACTGCACAACGACCTGGTGGAAACCGCGGGTTTTCCGAATACCACGTCACCTCAAACAGCCCGCCTGTTGGAGGAGTATGCAACGTGAGCCAAACATCAGGAGTCACTCTAATTACAGAATTTACTTTTGCTTGTAATAATTGGCAGGATCCAGACCTTCAGTTGCAGTATGAATTTATTTACCTCATTGATGACAATATTTTTAATGTGGCATACAAAGGCGTAAAAAAAAGCTTGACAACCAAACTTCCTGCTGGAGGGAGGAAAAATAACTTTACCATCGACTTTCGAGTGCGAGTGGCTGACATTTTGGGCGCATATACTGAAGTGAGGACACCTGTACAGGTAGGAATGGGTAACGGCAAAAAAATACCTTCACCAATTTTATTTGACCCCTTTTTTTTTGTATTACCCTCATTTCAATCAGCACTGTCTATCATATCAAGATGTAGTTAATGTCAATTTCCTTATGACTCCTGTCGTCGTTTTTATTTTAGGTTTCTGAGCCCACCTTTGAGCCGAAAGACCTTGTCGATATGGTCGCCAGCCTCACTTCTAGAGATGAAAGTGAACTGAATTCCTTGATCAAGTCAGGTGATGTGTCGCGTGCTGCACAATTGGCTACAGCGGTCCTTTCGGTCGTTGATGTTGTTACCCAAGCAGAATCTGCAGAAAGTCAGGTGCAGGAGCTTAAAGAGAAAAAAATTATGGCAAGTATTACATAAGTGGAAAAACTAACAGCGAAACTTCCAAGAGAGAGCTGGAAGTAGTTCTGAGTAATTTTTCTATTAATTAGGCCTAATGGGACTAAGTCCAGACTCGCACCAAGCAAGGGTTGCTGATAGCACTAACGTCACCACACCCTATGCCAAGCTTGCGATGTAGAAGTTTCAAAGTGTTTTCTCACCAGATTCCAAAGATTGACTAGCATTTAAAGAAAGAAGCAATACTCTTAGAACTTAAATAAGCTCTAACTTTGTCCGTTGTTGTCGTCGGCTTGAGCGCAGAATTTACTTTGCAGGCCGGCTTTTTCTATCCATAACGATACTTGTATACCCGTTATGGGATTGGGGCTATTTCATCTGTGCCCATTTAATAATACATTTATTTTTCTTGTAGATGAAATCAAACATCATACAACAGCTATCTGCTGTCCCAGTAGATACTGTCGTTAGAGTCCAGCAGGTATCGTATGTGATTGCCTCTGCCAGCTCGGTCATCGGCGAGATTACCGTTGAAGCACAGGTAGTTTAATAACCTGTCACTTCTTTTTATTAACACTTGGACCTTTTGTTAGCTAATTTTAAGGATGAAACGACCACGTCACTTAAAAGAACGAAAATGGCATTCCTGATCCTTTAAACTATTTTTTTCTCGCGCAGAAAGCTGCAACAGAAGCGCTTGAAAAGATGACTGTGGTATTGAAGACGGAGAGTACAGCCGGGCAAAGTTACGACACACTATTTGATGGTGCCAAGAGTCTTGTAACTGGTCTCGGAAGCATGCTTAGGGTAACTTCACACGAAGCTAGTGTGGACGATGCTGCGTCGAAAGAAGAGTCTCGACTCAAAGCAAGCTTTATAACTGCATATGAAGGACGCTTGCCCAAGAGCCAAAGGAGAAATCTCAAATCGAGAATTTCTTTGTCGGATGTATTGACCAGAACCAAAAGGGACGGTGCTGACCTACGTCTTCAGGTAAAAAAAAAAGTACAGAAATTCAAGTGACTGAGAACGAGAGTTAAGAAATGATGTTAGACACGTGCAAAATCTGCAAGGCACTACAATGGTTCGTCCGGATAAAACCAGTTTGAATCGGAATTATACCAAGTCCTAACACAATTTTGCTTCACACGTCTTAAAAACCATATTCACTGAAATTTCAAGGTGAAAGCAGACACTGAAGGTAAAACAGTTTAACCGAAAATTGGCACCCAAATCTAGATCAGCAGATTAGTATTAAAAGTGTAGCTTTTGGGTTACTACATCTCAACTGAGAAATAACAGACAAACAAACTAAATTTATCTTAAAGTTAAAACTACTGGCGACAACAATTTTTTTTTGTCTTTTCCTTTAAGGCTCGTGTCAAAGTTGAAACTCTGCTTCATTCTTTAGAGGAGGTCGGAAGTACCATCCTGTCCCGAACTCTCGTTGGCGAGGAGCCGAAGGTGCTTCCGGCCCAAGCAATGTCTCTACTGTTGTTACGACAGGAGCCTAATTTAGTCGCTGGAACAGTTTTGTCAAACAAAGGAAACAGTTTTCGACTTCCTCCGGTATCCAAATTGTTTGACAATTCTACCCAGTTTTTAGATAGCCAGGTAGGAAAGCACTTGTAAATCTCAAACATTTACCCTAAACCCTATTTGAATCATTGCTTTACTAATATTCTTTGTGTTTCATTGTGATATTCCAAACATGCACCAAGACTTTGACAAATAATTAATTTATCCAATTTCAGTAATGGTATGGTGCGAAAAAACCCATTTCAGTGATGTCCTCCAACCATCCCCTTCTGACTGTTTCACTTTATACTCTTTTCCATTGCCTGTCTGACAGATGGTAACGACAGACTTCATTCCATTCTCATGGGATCCGTCAGGCGCAAGAGTGACAACTGCTGTTTCAAGCCTTGAGCTTAAAAACAGTTCTGGGCATCTTTTGAATACAACAGAACTGATAGCACCGATTACTTTAAGACTTCAGAGCCACCAGAAATTCACAAACGCTTCTCAGTTTCATTACGTTGGATCCAACAGAACTGTTTTCTACAAGGTAAATGTCAATCAATCAGGCATGGCCTTGTTGTTAAACATTCGTCCAGAAAGCAACAAGACAGAGTTTGTGGTAACCGTAAAGTACGGAGAGCGGCCATCGCCAAGTAATAGCGACTTGAATTTAACATTACCTGACCTTTCATCTTGCAATAAAGTACCAGATGGTTATGTTAACTGTTCAAGTAATCCATATGTAGTCTTTGTCAACCAGGATTTTGTTGAGAACAAAGGGTTTGGCTACTACTTCTTCGGGCTAAGAGCCGTGTCAAGAATTTCACGGGTTAAGCGCTGTTCAGGTCACGGCCGGTCGAAGCGGTCATGTGTACAGTACAAGGAACCCCCAACCATGGGTCCAAGTTACAGTGTACCTCAATACCGTGTAGGAGATGAAAACTACACCATTCAGGTGATGCCAGCTGCCTGCCTGTTCTGGAACGCAGAGTTATCAAAGTGGACTTCAGAAGGGTGCCAGGTAAGAGGTATATGATCCTCAATTAGAAAATGAGAATTGTGCTTCAGCGCACTGATTAACCAGCGTGGAGGTGGTTAACTAAGTAATCTTCAGTTGCAAGCAACAAAAACGCGGCCCCTTTTAATGCTAGTGTCTGATGGGAAATTATTCTATTGGAAAAGGCAAGAGCCACCAAAAATATACAAAAAATGTGAAGGTAGGCAGAGTTTGATTTTGCAGAACTACATCGATTAAGTGTACCTTTTCAACCTTTTATTCGAGCATAAAGCGGAAGATGGAGGATTCGATGCCGACAGGTTTCATTTGCGACCATATATCGGACATATTACATATAATTAGGAAGAATTTTTTTGGTCCGTTATTTAACCAACCGATCAAGTAGGAGTTTTTAAACTGCTTTCTTACAGGTAGCCGAAATGACGACTCAAGATGCCATTTATTGCTCCTGTAATCACTTGAGTTCTTTTGGGGGTCAGTTATTTGTCACCCCGAATCCATTGGATTTTGATAAAGTGTTCATTGAACTCACTCGCCTACCTGATAGTGGAAACATAGCTGTTATATTAGCAGTGTCCTGTGTATTCGGTTTATACCTATCGTTGTTGTTGTGGGCGCGAAAGAATGACAAACTTGATAACTTGAAGGTAAGGAAATAATTTCTAAATTTTTCAACTAATTTTACAATCGAATTTGACATATGATTATTTATTTTCATTCTCTTATTTGTTTTGTAAGGTATAGCAATTTTACTTAAGCTTCTCAGGAAATATAAGCCGGGCATATGTTGCTTATTTGTTTATTAAGAAATGGTTAGCGTGCAGCGTGCAACCATCGAGTTATTGATGCACACGGGAGGTTGCTAAGCACGAAAGAAGCGTAAGAGTCGCACGAGGCGATAGCCGAGTGCGACTCTAGCTTCTTGAGTCGCACTCGAGACTTTCAAACATCTTAACATTGAGACTTTCAAACATCTTTCGTTTCGTGTATAAATATTTAATTGTTCACCCAGCTGATAAAGCTCCTGCTCGCTCAAGTTCGCAAATCTCGAACTCTAAGCTGGAGACCCGACAAAATCCTTGAGCTCGAAATTTGGCAGCTCACAAGAATTATCTTCCTTATCTCCGGAAAAATCACAAAATTTGTCCATATTTCACGAGCAAAATACCTACAAAAAACAGGAATTATGTTGTGTGTAGTGGCAACATCGACGAAAAAGTTGCCTTGAAAAAAAAAGCAAAACAAACTGACGTCAGCGTGCAACCCACGGGCAAATGGATCGAGCGTATGAGCCAATCAGAGCGCACGCTTTTGTAAAGCCATGTTATAACATGGGTTCATCACGGTAACATGATTTCCGTAGTTTTAATGTAATCGCCTCTACCTTGTGTATGAAAACCAATGTTTTGTAGAAAGAGGGTTTTCACTACACTATTTTAAGTTATTTTATCTCGTGAATTTTAGTCTTAAAGCACGAAACCTTAAAAAAGATTATCCACTAATTATTTTACCTTTTTCAACCTTAAATTGGTGTCTCTATGACCTGCTGAAAGCAGAGGGACTTGAAGTGTAGCACTGGAACGTCAGCGATATTTTTAAAATGCACTCGCCATTTGTCCATTTGTCGATTTCAGTCGAGGACCTACCCTCCCTACGGCGCTCTCTGTTCTGCACACTGACCAGATGCTACCAATTACTTTCTCGAGGAGAAAAGAGAAAGAACCCTCGGAACGAGGCTGCTTGGTGTGAAGAATTTTTCACCTTCGTCAGCACATTACATTTTTTTATCATTTTTGCAACATACTTTTTGCTTAACATTTTACATCCTAAATAGGGACGACAAGTATAAAATGTTGTGATAAGGGCATGGGTCACAAAGCTCATTTGCACGCACTTATATTTACAGGAGAGCATCATTTGCACGCACTTATATTTACAGGACAACAAGCGTAATAAAATAACGGAGACTGATTATTTCTTTTTCCTTTTTTGTTTTTGTAGGTGGGGGAGAAAGCATTCGTAGGAGTTCCCTCAGAAGGGTCTCACTTCATCGAGGTTCAAGTATCAACGGGCATTTGGCGAAATTCCGGCACCACTGCTAACGTTTTTGTTATACTGGAGGGAGAGATAGGCACCAGCCGACCTTACCATTTGAAAGACGATTCGTCTATCCCCTTTGCAAGGGGAAGCATCATTTCCTTTATCCTTGCGATTCATGACAGTATTGGCCCCATAAGAACTGTGCGCGTATGGCATGACAACTCGGGAAACAGTCCATCGTGGTTTTTGAACCATATCAAGGTTTGCGAATTGACCAATAAGAAGCAATGGAACTTTGTGTGTTTTGCGTGGCTGGCTGTTGATAGAGGTGATGGATTAATAGACCGCACACTTCGTGGTACTTCAACTGTCGACAAAGGAATTGATTTTGCAGTTTATGTTCAGAACAGAATTGCTGGTGAATTTAGTGATTCACATTTATGGTTTTCTGTCGCAACAAGACCTCCAAGGTATCGATTTACTCGCGCTCAACGTTTATCTTGCTGTCTGTCTCTATTACTGACTACCATGTTAGCCAGTGCCATGTTTTACGAACGTGAAACAGCAATGGACGATAATCAAGGATCGCTAAGGTTGGGCCGTTTTGTTGTAAACTTCAGAGAGTTTATCATTGCAGTGCAGAGTCTTATGGTTGTACTTCCTGTCAATATTTTGACCGTGGCACTTTTTACTCATACCCGTTCCTCAAACGAGAATAAGGAAATGGCTCTCCAAAGTAATTCACACAAGAAACTCGCCAGGAAAAGTGACATTTCTTTTCCACACTGGTTTATTTTCGTTCCTTGGCTCTTGTGTTTCCTCCTCTCGACATGTACGGCCTCTTTTGTTGTCTTCTACAGTCTGCAGTGGGGTGCAGATAAAAGTGAGCAGTGGTTGGTTTCGGTAGCAATGTCAGTTGTGTTGGACATATTTGTATCGAAACCTGTTCAAATCATAGTTGTTGCCTTTATGCTATCTCACATTTGCAAAGGGGGAATTCAAAGGTTTACTCGACAACCATATCACGCCGACGCAATCGTTGATGTCGAAGATATTAAATTAAGTTGGTTAGGTAATGAAGATACAGACGAGGAAGAAATTGAAATACCAAAGCCCTTAAGCAAGAGGCAGTTACGTCGCGCAAGGATCGCTCGAATGAGGGAGGTGTACATGTATACTGCCCTTCGGAATATAGTATCGTACATGCTGTACTTGTTAATTCTATTTATTGTTTGTTACGGTGGACGTAGCCAACATGGGTACCTGATGACATCGACCTTGAAAACTACGTTTGGAAAACTTGATTCGGTATGTGATCGGCCAATTCCTTGTTTTATTGACGCCTTCTTTAAAGACAACGGATACTTGCACCCCCTTAATTGCAATTGCAGAATCCTTTGGCGTGAGTAGTCGAGTGGTCAGTGCGCTGGACTCTGGGTCGGTTGGCTGGGGCATGACGTTGTGTCCTCAAGCAAGACGCTTCACTCTCATTGCTTCGTCTTCTCGGATAAGACGTTAAGCCGTTGGTTCTGTCTCCCGCAGGGTTAGGGGGTAGGAGACGTAAATTTCCCATGCACGAGATTACTGTGTAGTTGATGTCCTCCCCGGGGTGGGATGGGTGGGAAGGCGAGTTCGCTACATGGACTGAAGCAGCTGCCAGAGGCGCCTGATAAAAATGCTGACGTCCGATCTCAACCTTACGATACTGTTAAGCCCGACTGAATATATCCACATAGAAGTTTGCGCTATATAAATGTACAAATGTAATGTAAAAATGTAGGCTACTCCAACAATTTTTAGTGAGAAAGGATGTCAGTAGATAAAAACTAACGGACCAAAACTTTCAAAGATTTAAGGAATATCTAATTCATTGATGCCTCCTTCGTTTCTTATTATATAGATAACAAATTACTTCAAGACGTGGGACTGGGCACGTGACGTTTTGGTACCAGGGCTTTTTGACGATGGAAAAAACCTCATACTGAATAGTCACAGTCTTTACATTGGAAGTGGCGACGCTGTTCTCGTTGGGATGCCTCGCTTTAGACAGCTACGAGTCAAAGAAGGTATTTTAAAAGAAGTGTTTTAACTCCTAGCTAAACGTAAAATTACTCTATGTCTAATTTTTTTTGTGACTTAGAACAGAGAACAGTTTGGTTGTATCAATTGAATGGATAACGTAAATTGACCACCGTAAACAGTTCCTAAAGCTGACGTTTAGAGCGTTAGCCTTCTGTCAGAGCGAAAACGAAGGGCTTATGCTCTAAAGTTCAGCTTTAGAGACTCTTTAGATGGATTATTTACATTACCAACCCAGTTGATGAAAGTAAATTATCTTGCATACCCTCCACGAAGAAAAAGTGCAGTTTCGTTAGAAATTTACGTCCTTTATTGGAAACGAAAAAAAGGGGGCCAGTTGTTCAAAGTGCGGATAACGTTATCCAACACATAAATCGTCATCTAGCGGATAATTGTTGACAAAACTGAGTACTGCGCTATCCACTGTATGACGACTTACCAAATAGATGACGTGAAATGAAGTCACAAATCATTTTAGCAAGTTCCCCAAGCAGTGGATACAGCTGGTCTCAAGGTAGAATGTATTTGAAAGGTATTTTAGGCACTCCGTGGAGAGAGACCTCACTCGTAGTGGTAGTTCCAGAAACTAGTTATATGAAACCAAACTCAGCAAGAAGTTGTCGGGGGCTTCTCTCGTGCATGTACGTATTGTTTGCCTTGGGTTGATAAGATATCTTGCATCGTTGAGGCAACTGCAGTTTGAATGAATAGACAAACCTCGATTTGGTCATCTTTATAGATAATAAACGTGCTCTTTTTCGTTGTAAGGTTCTTGTGATGTCAGCATTGAGGAGTTAAAACCTCCTTTCAACTCCTGCGTGGCTACATATACATCCAATAACGAGGACAAAAGCAGTTTTCATCGAACGAGATGGGACCAATTTTCTTCATCCAGGAATGATTCATTAAACATTCTTTATCAGATCTGTCCCACTGCTTGGCATTATTCGTCGGCCGAGCGAACTCAAAGTCTTCCTCTATGGGGAAAACTTCATTTGTCAAACTTTTATGGTGAAGGAGGCTACCTGGCCGAGTTGGGCTATGATAAAGCTACAGCACTGAAAGTCATATCTGAACTAAAACTGTTTGACTGGATTGATAGGTTTACCAGTGCCATAATTGTCGAGTTTACCGTTTTTAACTCTCAAGTAAATTTGTTCGGCGTGATCTGGATCCCAATTGAGTTTTCACCAAGTGGTCACGTGGTATCTGATCCTGTGATTCGTGGCATTCATGTATACGAAATTGGTGGAGGCTACAGTGCTGTTACTGTAGTCTGTCAGTTGTTATTAGTTGTGTATATTATATACTTCGTTGTCAAGGAAACGTCGAAAATGATTGCGGGTGTTCGAATGTACTTTGCACAGTTTCTAAACTGGGTTGAACTGACGCAGACTTTAACAGTCATTGGTTTTGTTGTCACCCACATTTTTAAACAAGCGGAGCTTTTCTACAACACAGAAAAACTCAGAAACAATACATTTCAGTTCATCAGTTTTGATAAAGGAGCTTTTCTAGAGGACTTAGAAACGGTATTAATATCGTTACTGATGTTCTTGAACACTCTGAAGTTACTGTATTTGCTCAAATTCAACCCTCACGTGAGGCATTTATTTTACGTAATGAAGGGATCAGCTCGTGAACTTGTTAACTGCTCGGTTGCATTCACTCTGTTCATGTTTGCATGTATCCATGTAGGATATTTTCTGTTTGGAAGTGAACTTTACCCCTTTTCTTCGCCAGTCATCACTCTACAGTCTCTTCTAGTCGAAGGAGTCCTCGGTGGCAGATTTGACTATTTTAACGATTGCTGTACAGTCACTGGTCCTGTTTACGTCACGGCGTTAAAATTGGGACTGAACCTCATTTTCATCAATGTTTTCGTTTCAGTTCTTGTCTACAATTACGGCAATATCAGAGACCTCACCAGAGGAAAATTCAATCTTGGAAACTTCATTATCGTAAAAATAAAGGAACTGATGGGTTTTGGGGTTCACAGTTCAGCGATGGATGCAGACAGTTCGTGTGATCCTAACACGAAGAACGAGGAGAATGCACTTCCTGAAGTAGATGAGATATTAACGAAGTTGGATCGAATCAATCACCATTTAAATGTCTTGTATGCTGACGAATTTGGTGAAGACCTTGACATGTTTTCTTTGTGGTTTGATCTTCACATGCAACGCTTAGAAGCTAAGGACACACAAAGGAATGAGAATGATGCAGAGAAAGATTTAGAGGATGCATAAGAATACTGCAGCCTCGCGTAGTAACTGGTGTTACTGTTCACCCACCTCCATCACTGATTGTAGAGTGAGAACTACCACACGAACTTACGATTGCTTATTGGTAAAATAATTAAGCTGTTGTATTCTTGAAGCAGAAGTATTTATCGCACTGTTAACCACTTCAGTGATTATTATTCCCCTTGATGATTTTTAAAAGAACTGCTGTAATTTGTGTTTACTTCAGCTTTAGTTTCACTATTTTGAAAAGGTTTCATTATTAAAGTTGAATGGATTTTATTGTTCAATGAGTGCGACCGATCAACAAACGTCCTAGTGTGATTTTAAAAAGGTTTACGGTGACCTTTTCATTCCCAAGAGTTATATATCAATTCTCCTTACTGCCTACCATACAACTCTTACAGTGTTTAGAGCGCAAATGGTTTGATGTTCAATCAAACACTTTCCCTCTGGCTGCTCATCCTTGATATTTTTCATTCCCCTCATCAATTTTCTGTTTGGAAATATATTAACCTTTTTGGTCACTACTAGGATTCTAGCAGAATGGCATGAATTATGCACTCTCGTGGCACGAATAATACCTCACGAAAGAGCGCAATATTGTTGTTGCCACTTGAACTTAAATTTCATATCTTCTCGCCACCGAGTAATATCCTCTTTGTATTCTGCAATCACAAGATTCCTTATTTAACAATGCAGTTTTTGTGGACTAAACCCTCCAAAGAATATTTACCCATCCAACTGATGACAACCATAGGGATATTCGACCAAGAGAAGATCTGAGCTGCGTTCCAACGTTATTTCCAAATTCCAGAAGTAGAATGAGTAACCATCAGCAGTAGATACCAGTTAATCAAAACAGTTACATTCCTGCTGGAACTCTGCAATTTATTTGCTTCCATATTCTTTAACACTTAATTTAAACAGCCTATCTAACAATAAATATCGTTATAATTTCTCTTTAACAAAGAAATATTTTTAAAAGGTTATAATACAAAATAAATATGGAATCAAATATACATTCTTTAATGTCACTGGAGGCCTATGTGATCCAATAATTAAGACAATTCCAATTCATATATTTTTTAACACAACAAAAGATTGCTGTCTAGTATTTAGAAGAATCTTTCAGAAAGATAGCCTATAAGACTAATTAATATTCAATAAGTGACTTAATGTTCTCAGTCCCAACACAGACGCAAAATGTACTTCAATATTCTTTAGAAACCTAATGAATGAATGACAACTATTCTACTAAATGGAGGTGGCTAGTGGTGATTTTTCACCGAACCACGGAACGGCAACGTAGATATCGACTGCTAGCCACCGGCACTTAGGTGAATAGTTGTTTTAGATAAAATTATACTAAAGCGGCGAGATGATAAAGCACAAAAACGTGATGTTGCTTCATTTATTCTTGCAACAATTACAATATTTTCGGATGCAATTCCCTCACGAGTTGCTTGGTGGTGAATAGAAAAGGATATTCGGAGTGTGAGTAGGCAATCAGAGCGCGCTTTCAACATTATTCACTGTTTTAGAATATACTAACATTCCGACTTTTACAAGAGCGTGGCAACTCTCTCACTAACTCTGATTTAGTGACGGATTTTCTAAGTATTCAAAAGGAAAAAAAGCTCTACCCCTAAAAATTAAAGTCAATTGAAACACTTGTAAACGCTGCTTTTTATCGCCTTACTTCTGTATCGCGGTATCTTGTATGTTCTGCATTAACTTGCTGTTGCACTCAACACAAGCTAAAATTATTTTAAACCCCTTATGGTACATAAACATTACAGCGAACCTTTATGTGGTGAGAATTCCGACAGGGGTTTCAATTATCTTCCCTTAAACTTCCCATGAAACTGATCATATGGTGAAACGATCAATATGAAAAGTAAGAACGTATTCCAAATGTTACGTGTAAAAAATACTCCTTTCAAGACTTTACAGCATCTCAAAACAGGCCAATTTATCTGTGGCTTTATCGCAGTTCGAAATCACTTTCCAAACACTGTCCACCAGATATAAAATCATTGTAAACCCCACTACGGAATTCCGGCAATTTCCCTTGGACGCACATTTTCTCTAAACTGTCCTACGATGTTCCCCGGGGGATAGTATCTTCCGACAGCCACATGTCTCCCATCGGGAGCTGCAGCCATCCCCATTCCAAATTCTTCTGTCCCAACCCAGACTAACTGCGTAAAATGTCCCGTATCGGATGTGTAACCAGGGGAATCGAAGTCGTAATCTTGAACTTCATCATACCACAAGTCCACCGCTCCTCGAGCAGAGAGCGGGCTATCCCATGTGTAGGCCAGGTTTTCCCCGTGGTCCTTTTGCCCGCTGTGAGAAAGTGAGCCTGTCTTAACCAAGCGATCTGCGTAATTCTGCGCTTCGGTAGCCAATAATGGGGACCAACGCAGAGGTGGAGCATTGTGAAATGTACGGTAGTAATTATGTGAGATGACACACTCGGTTTTAAATTTTTCTGATGACGAAAAAAGATGACGAAATGAGCTTACAAAAATAAAAGTGTAAATACTAGATAGCAACATAACATGGTATGGACCTATGTGAAATGGCAAATAGAACAAAAAAAGTAAAACAAAATACTGTAATGAAAACACACGGATGGTCAGCCTCATGAATTCACTGTAATAAAACCGCAAAAGGATGTTGGCAAGGGTAGTAGAGGGATAAATTTGGGTATTAATCTGCATTTGAAGATGAAACAATTTAATGTAATTAGAAAAAATCCGGGGTTCGGATTTTTTCTAATCTGCATTTGGTTATTAATCTGAATTTATTGTTTAGTCTTAAGAATAATTGAGAAATGACTTTGGTTATCATTCTGTATTCGAGCTTCGTCTTAACAACTAGAAATGCCCTTCAATTTTTACATATTCTCACTTGGGCTCTTGTGAAGTTAGTGTGCTACGCGCCACTATCTGCCAAAATTGCTCTAAATTTCGCAATTTAATTTTATCAGTTGTCTGTATTAGAAAAATACACACGTCGACACACACTTAAACTGCATGCCAAATTTTCATTCAATTAAAGCTACGGTAGAAAACATGTTATCCATCGGCAGCCGAAGTTCTCAAGTAAGTCCTAAATTTATTCATGGTCACTACCTCTTTCCGCTGGAGTCACAGGCGGAATTCCTGATTGAGAACGTCTCCTAGCACTGGACCTTCGTCTTCGAACTCGACTGGAAGAATCTTTGGGTGGTTTTACATTGTCTCTAAATTCTCCGACGATGTTTCCGGAAGGTTTATACCACGCTACGACAAACTGAGTTCCATCGTCAGCCACAGCCTTCCCCGCACCGAACTCTCGAGACGATGTCCAAACAACTTGCGTGAAATTACCACATTTGGCGTTAAAGGCAGGAACATCAAAATTGTAATCTGTTGATTCTTTATACCAAATGTCGACAACTTCGGAGCCACTTAAATATATTCCTTGCGCAATTGCGAGATTTTGACCAAACTCTTTTCCTTCGCATCGTTCGAGGGAATTCACTGATGCCAAATATTCTGCCCACTCTTTTGCGCCAGCGGCGAGTTCGTCAGACCATTTCAGCGGTTTGCATCGGTGTTGCCGCCGGTACAAGTTGTGTTGCAAAAAACAGTCTTCCTCAAAGTCGTCTAATCCTATAAGATATATTTCACAAGGATAATTGGTGTTAAGGTGCAAAACTGCATCTTTATGGAAACTCTCTATGATTTTCTGTGATACAAGCAACAATAAAACATTACAAAAAGGGTAGAAAGCATGATACCTCTAGAAGTTAAAGAAACTGAATTTCCATTGATGTCAACCTCAAAGAAAAGGCTAAGTTTTCCTCACCTTCTAGATCAACTGAGGCTGTGGAGGACTGTGATCCTTCACTTGATATACTTTGTTCTCCCGAAGAATCACTGCTTAGATTCGGCTCATTTTCCTCGTCTTTTACTCGTTTGAATTCGGGGTGTGCTCCTTTCTCAGCAGATTCTCGAGTTGCACCCACGTTCTCTTGATGTCCTTCATCAGATGGAATGCCTTTCTGACTCGATAACGTTTGAAGTTCCTTACTAACTTTTCTGGAAACATCGTCCCCTGCACTATCTGCAGCACCTTCCAGACCTTTTAGTTCGTCATCTTTTACTGGAGAGGAATCTTCAGGGAGTTCTTGGTGTGTAACGGTACTCTGGTAATCCGCATTTTTATCCTCCTTTGATTCGGTATCGGCAGACACTGCTGCCTGACGAATCGAAGACGTCGTCATAGTCTCACCTAATTCATCCTCGTGCAAAGTTTCCTCACTGCTAGAATGCACATCTGAATGGAAGACATTTTCGTCCCTCTCCTCGCCTCTGAAACCTGCATTCTCGTCACCACAGTCTTCATCGGACTCCACTTGGCTCAGCTTCTCTTCTAAGATAACAAATGACTCAAGTCGCTCATATTCTTCGAGTTGACGTTGTTCCTCTTCATCCAATTCGTCTTCTGGAGAATCGTCGATTTCGAATTCTGGAGATTCCCGGATTTCCTCTAGACCGACGTCTTCGTCTTCTCTCTCGTAAAAACTCTCCGCGAGTGGTTCCTTCTCAGTCTCAAGCTCTTCCTTTACAAGGTTGCTGTTTTCACCATCATTATCTTCTTCAGGAATGACGTAGATTTCTCGTTGTTCAGAAAGGTCCTCCTCACCAGAAGATTCAAATTCATCTCCATATCGTACTAGAATAAACTCTTCTAGGTTCTCTTCCAATGGATCTCCCTGTCGCACGTATTTTTCGGTAAACGATGCCTCCTCTTGTACCTCCCCATAAGCTCGTTCCAGGCTCTCAGTTGATGACAATTCAACGTAATACCGTGTTGCTGCTCTTTCATCTTCATACAGATCAACTTGGCTCAAATCAAGTGGTTGTCTTCGCGTGGCTCTGTTTTCAACAACATGTCCTTCCTCAACAAAATGCTCTGAACTTTCCATGTAGTAAACCGTTTTGCGTTCGTCGTCGCTAACGAATAAAGGCTCTTTGCATTCTTCCACGGAAGCAGAAATCTCTACCTCTTCTTCAAACACTGCTGCCACTGAATGACCTTCTGGTTCAAAATCCTCCGAGCCCTCTTCTTGAACGTCTTGTAGCGTGGCTACATCCAATTCCTCTTCGAATTCGGCTGACTTTGGTGTTAATTGCATATTGTCAGCAGACTGGCTTTCAAAGCTGCCTTCTTCCGCTTGAATAGTACTCCCATATGTTGCCATCTTGATGACTTCTTCAAAAGAAGGCGTACTGACGACATTATCCTCAGTTTCAGAGGGATAGGCATCTTTTTGCTTTACTCTTTGCATTTCCACTGCTGCCACTGAATGACCTTCTGGTTCAAAATCCTCTGAGCCCTCTTCTTCAACTTCTTGTCGGGTAGATACCTCCAATTCCTCTTCAAGCTTCGCTGACTTTGGTCTTAATTGCATATTGTCAGCAGTCTGGTTTTTAAAGCTGCCTTCTTCCGCTTGAATAGTACTTACATATGCTGCTATCTCAATCTCTTCAAAAGTAGGCCTACTGATGACCTCTTCCTCAGTTTCTGAGGGGTACGCATCTTCTTTTTTCTTCACTCGCTGCATTTCCACTTCCTCCTCATAGATAGGTTGCACTTCGCTGACATCTACTTCTTCCTCATAGAGAGGTTTTTTTTGTTCATCCTCGAGTGGTTGTCTTCCTTCCTCCTGGTTCCATCTGTCCATCCCGTCTGCTGAATCGGTCTTAGATAATCTTGAATTGTTACGATCAACATTTTCAACTCCTTCGCCACGGAATTCCTCCTCTGACAAGGCTTCATCCATACGCATAATATCAATTTCTTCTTCAAAGTGATCTTCCGCTGACTCTTCTTCAAGAGAAGCCTCGTCATCTTTTAAAATGACTGTTACGTCTTCCTGTCGTACAATCTGATGAACTTCCTGAACGTCCTTAGCTCCTGAATGAACAACAAAACGTTTCACAAATTTTGATACCGTCAATTGTGGGTTCGCCAAGGATTCTTGTTGCTCAGCTGCCTTGGATTTTAGAAGTTCGCCCTTTAGAAGACGAACCTCTGTTTCGTCCTCTGAAAGTAGCTTTTCATTCTTCTTGGTTTCTTGATCTTGAACTTCTCTCTCTAAAATTCCTTCACTAAGCTGATCACCTGTTTCAAAGTGTTGATCGTTTTCTTTCTTTTCCCACGAAGTTTGTCGAGTTGTTTGTTTTGTTGAAGTGAAAGAGACTTCTTGGACTTTTTTTAATTCCTCCTGTAGTATACCCTCGCTGTTTTTGTCGGCTTTGTAGTGAATTTCTTCACTTGCAGCGGCAAAGTGAGAATTTGTGGAGGATGCCTGACTTGTGGTTTTCGATGAAATAACTTGGACTGTCTCTTCAATCGCGTGCGATGTTTTCATTTGCTGTTCTTCTCCTCCAGTGAATACATTTTCGCCGCCTTGTGACTCTCCGGTCTCTATAACACGGAAGTTAGACTTGACTTCCACAGATCTGTGTTCGTTTTGGCTCACAGTCGTAAACGTCTCCATCTGATGTGTAAAACCTTTTTCTTCGATTTCTTCTTCATAGACAATGCTGTCTCTTTCGACATCCTTTGCACGGTGATGAACGTAAACTAGCTCCTGTGTGCTAAAATTATGTGCGTTGTCAGTTTCGTCTGAAATTCTGTTTCCTTCCTCTGCAATTTGCGAGTCGCTTAACCCATTTTCGGAAACGGAGCCAGTTGGCTCTCCTACACCCTGAAATAGTGATACTTTTCCGCTGCTCTCTTCCTTCTCTTCAAATGCTTCACAAAACTCTCTTTCACTTGAGTAATCTTCCTCTCCAACACCGTAATTGTAATCGGAGTCGGAAAACTCAGCAGCCGTCTGGAGTGGGGTCTCAGCTATGAAAATGTTAGTTTCCCTCTCTAAAGGTTTCTCTTCTTCATTATACGCCTCAGTCGTTTCTATTGTAATTGATTTCTCGTTCAGAACACTTTCGTCATACATTGCTTGTGTCGACAGTTCCTCAGTTATGTAAAGTAATGGCATTCCTTTCGAGAATGACTTCTCCGAAACGAACTTGGTTTCATCAAGTGTAGTGGCGTGATACGTTTCCGTACTAGAATCCTCGCCAATTGTTTCGTAATCTTGAAAATCTTTGAGTTCACTAGAAACGTGCAACGGTGACGAAGAAGACTCTGACATTAGTTCTGAGAAAGAGCCCTCTTCACTTTCCTCAAAAGGTTCAGCAAGGTCTGTTTTCTTCTCCACGTCATGTCTTTCAGATGAAAATTCAGAAATACAAAATTCTGCAGCAACATGCGACTCAGAGACGGGTGTTTGTTCAGTCTTACATTGTACGGGAGATTCGTCATATTGTTCCTGTATTTCTGTCTCAATATTTGGTTCTTCTGCGACACAACAAGCACTTTCTTCCTCATTATTAGATTCTTCATCAGCAATATTCACAAAAATAACTGGTACCTCGAGACGTTCCTCTTCATTGTGTTGTTGTGATACTTCGGATTGTGTTTCCACCACCTCAGAGGCCTGTTGCGCAGCATCAATTTTATGTTCCAATGCAGCAGCAGCCATACTCAGTAAAGAGTGTGGAGACTTAAGAACAATAGTTGTAGCCCGCTCCAAAGCTTCTTCAATTTCCTCTGGACTCACTTCTTCTTCTTGTTTTTCTTCCTCAGAGGATTCTTCACGAGCTTCAATGTTAGAGAGTTCAACAGCTACGTGAAGTGAAGATTGATTTGTGTCCTCCATATTAGTTGTGGTTACAAGTTGAAGACTATCTTCATACTCTACACTTTCTTCCACTCGCGAGGCGTCTTCCATGACCTCATCACAAGAGACAACGTTATCTATTTCCCCAGATATATGCGCGCTTTGAGCGGGCCCCATGAGTCCTTGAGTTCGATAAGTATTCTCAAATTCCTCAAACTGTTCACCGTAATCCGATTCTGGCGAATCGTCTTCGTCTGTAATAAGCTTTCTGTTTGTAACCTCACCAGCGATGTGATTGTTTGGATCAATGGCATCATCGTAGCTGACCTCCTCAAGACTTTCTTCAAATTCTTGGGCGAGCTCCAAAGGTGCCGCGGCTTCCTTTGGGATTTCCTCAAATTCTGTCATGCACACGTCTTGACCGGCAATATGAATAGGAACAGAAGTTTGGGAGTGTTTTAATTCCTCGACAGAAAATTTTTCTTCCAAGGAAAGAGAGGTTTTTTTTTCAGCGGTTGGCTCTTCTTCCACCTCTCCGAAATTCTCCATGTTCACACTTTCTCCTGCTAGGTGCTTTGGAGGTGACGGCATAAAAGTTATCTCCTCGTCCTCAATAGCATGCGTCCTCAATAGCGATGCTCGGTTACTCTCCTCGATAGATTCTTCTTCCATTTCGTGGTAAGTCTCGCAATTTCTGCTTTCCATTGCAATGTGCTTTGGCGAAGATGGGCTGTCAGTTTGAGCGTTAACTATATCTTTTTCTTCCTCTAAAAACAGTGATGCCCGTTTGCTTTCTTTACCAAGCTCCTTGTCAATGTTTTCAAAGGGTTCGACATTTTTATGTTCTTCTACGAGATGATTGGGGGAAGAGGGAGCGTCAGGTACTACCTCGTGGATAATTGAATCTTCTTCCTCTGACAAAGACGCCCTTCTCTCCACTTCATCAAAAACGTCTTCATATATTTCTTCAAAACTCTTACCAGAAGCACTATCGCCAATTATGTACAACGGTGAGGACGTCGAACGGGTTGTAACATCAACAACTGTTTCCTCATGCATAACCAGTGACGCATGTTGCACGTCTTCATGTTGTTCTAACACCTCTTCAGTCATGTCCGAGCTACAAGTTTCACTTGAAATGTGTAAGGAGTTCTCAGCTTCTCTGTACTTCACCGAGTCTACAAATACATTTTCCTCCATGTACAGCGACGATCTGTTCTCTTCCTCTGTTTGTTCTACCATCTCTGGCTCTTTAAAAGATTGAACACTCTCGCACTCATTTGAGAGGTGTGTCCGTACTGAAGGTACAGTTGGTGATACATCTTCAACTGCTACGTCCTCGTCCCTGTATAAGGAAGCACGCACATTGCTGTCGCTTATCGTTTCTTCTGTGATTTCATCAAATAACTCTTGATTTTTAGTTTTTCCAGCAATATGATGTCGAATAGACGTTTCGGTATTTATTTCATTGACGCTTTCATGTTCATCATGTATTAACAAGACAAGGTTAGTTTCCGCGATGACTTTCTCTTCGGAAGCCATCTCTATTCTATCAAGGCTCAAACCTTCTCCAGAAATGTGTCTTGGAGAGGTGGGACTGTCAACGACTACTTCTTCTACTTCGCAACTCTCTTCCATGTATAATGAAGCTGGTCTCTGTTTCTCGACTTGTCTCACCTCAACAGTTTCCTCTACTGGTTCAAGTTGCTTGCTTTCAGGAGAAATATACTCCGAGGAGGTAGGGAGACAGCGCGACAAGAAGACCTGGTCAACTGTGGTGTCCTTTTCAATGTGTAACGATGCTCGCGATGCTTCATCTTGTGAGGTGGATTCCCTTGTGGTGTCTTCAAAATGCTCGGTTTCTGAAATTTCGTCCGCAGACTCTGCATTTTCGTCTTCTAGGGAACGAAATATGTCCTCGTAGTTTATTTTAGTGTGCACAACTGGATGAGTCTCGGCGTCAATGTGCTCTACGATCTCTGGTTGCTCGCTAGCTGTTGTTGATTTAGATGCTTGGTGGTAATCTAATGGTTCGACATGTTCTTCGGATGGAATTATTTCATCAGGTGACGAGAAAACTAAATTAAGTTCTAAGCTCGTTTCCTCGAGAGCTTTTGTACGTTCCTGATCGTAATTACGAGGAAGAGCTACACAACGGTGTTCCGCATTATCTTCCGGGGTTAGACTGTCCAATCGCATTTGTGGCTCCTCGAGATCCTTCGCGCTTTTCCAAACCGCTTGAATGGTAGCTTCATGAGCAGATTCACTCGAGGATTCATTGTGTGCAGGAATGGATGTTGTACTTTGGTAGTCTAGCGTTACTTCTAACTCAGCCTCCCGTTCTTCTTTCAGGTCGTCGTCATCGGTAATGGGTGTAAGTCCAAGATCAGCGCTTAATCGTGCTAATTTCGCCGCAACTTCACCTTCTCGATCTCGTGATAGAACTTGAACTGTTTCAGAGGGGACGATGACTGTATCACTCTCTTGCTCTACGTTAGTTTTCTCCGTTTCATCACAATCTCCGTGGAGTTTTCCAAACAACGCTTCGAAATCTATTTCCGATTCCACAGCCTCTCGAAAGGTAGCTTCACAAGTTTCTTCAACTGGTGTTCTTTCATAATCTGGCTCACGACGCCTCTCACTGTTTACAATATTTTCTACAAGCTTACCTTCCACTGTTTCCTTGAAATCACAAGATTCATCACTGGCGTCTTCGCTCACCTCCACAAACGAAAGTCCTTCTAAAGCTAAAATTTCTCTCATTCGAATTTCGACCTTTTCCTGTTTCGAAGTTGCAAAACAAAACTCTGGATCTGTAGTTCTTTGAAACGAGTCTCTTGGTTCGTCTATGACAGCCTCGCTAGATTTAAAACGTTCCTCCCTCGAATTATCGGGAGCGTCCTCTACTAAATACGGTGATTCATCCTTGCACAATCTAAAATTATCAGTTATTTGAAATTCGCTATCTGTGCTCAAGTTTGTTGGCAAAAACACGTTCGTCAATGACGATAGTCGTTGGTCCTCCTCTTCCGTAACATCGGAATGCTCCTGCGAAATATCCTCATGATAAACATCATTGATCTCCATAGCTGGTTGCTCCTTGTCTGAAAACTCATGGGTCACGCTAAGGACCACCTCGAATTCAAGGTCTTGTGGGCCATCTGGTCTGGTATCATAATCAGGAAAATCTAGCACGTCCTCTGTTTCTGATACACTAACGAGACTTTCTTCTTCATCTTCACCCTCGTCATCAAATGTGTCTTCGTCTAAGTGCACATCTTCTTCGTCCCCTTCCCTGTGCGCAGGAAATACATCGTCAAATTCCAGCTGACATTCATGTTCCCCCATGACTTCCTCTTCTCTTCCAACTTCCTCTTCTTGCGGTGAAGGACTTCTTTTCGGAAGGGAAGCCAGTTCCTCCAGCTCTTCTTGAATAACACTGCGTCTAAGTAGGGTTTGTGAATGGGAGGGCGATTGAGTTTCCATGCCTTGCTGAAACATCTCAAAGAAAGCTACTTTGGACAGTACGCTACCCCTCTGCATGTCTGGTTCTGTTCCCTCTGAATCCAAAGAAAGAGAGCGACGCACCTCAGAGAAACGTTGATGCAGATCATCTTCGGGATCAGAAAACAAATCTGCTTCTTCCAATTCGCCCTCCTCGGTATCCAAGAGTGGTTCCTCTGCTACACAGGTTAGATCTGGAATTAAATAAGGAAAGAATTATTCGTTTGCTAAGAACATACACCAACCTGAAAAAAAAACTGAAATAGGTATAATTGTGGACCAATGTTTTAAATAGCAAGCGGGCTAAACATAGTGATTTCCCCAAAGCCTGCAAACAGATTTTTTAGAGAAGGTATGACTTTATTTCCCTGAGGAACACCTGAAGCCGAATTGGACTTGGTTCAAATAAATCTAAGTTGACTTTCTTTAAAGAAACAAACTAACTGCCAGAAGCTACCGTCTCATCTCAAACTTTGCTGCTGACTCAGGTCGATTTGTTTCCTTACCAGCTGCCTCTAATGTGTTATCTTGTTCATATGCTGTCCGCGGATCTTCTTTTTCTTCGTCCTCGTCCTGTTCGCCATTGTCATCCTGAGCAGGCTTCTCGACAACACCTTTTCTCTGGAGAGTAGGGCTGTTAGGATCTATCCACACCAGCCGGGTAAAGTGGTCGCTTACTGTCAGGTTGTTGGATACCTCCTGGTCGTGGGCCCTGTGGAGGATATTCTCGTTCTCATCAAACTCGTCCAAGTCACTAGAGGGAAATTGACAATGACAAGGCACTAAATTGGCGGATATTTTGTTAAATGAAAAAAATTCGCAGGCCTGAAAGCATCAACCTGTCTAATCTCTTAAACACATCGCAATGCCCCTGTTTTAATCAATCACAATGTTTAGCTTGTTCATTGGTAATTACCTTGCTCGCCAAATATTTATGACCTTGGACTGGGCGCAACTAGCTCTAGGTAAATTATCGTTTATCTCGATTCTGACTTCTAATTTAGGCACTTTGGTTCAGCCTGCTTCTCTGCTGCTATGGCAATTGAGGCGAATACCATTTAGTGCATTAGTGCCGTTATTCTTTCCTAACGAGGTAACCTAAACAAGCTGTCCGCGTAACCCTGTAAAAAGAGTAGGGACCCACATAATTGATATGTTACTTTCATTAAGCGCCTTTAGACAAAACGTAAGTCATTCGGGAATGAAAGAACAACTTTTGGTTAAGCTTAGGTTAAGATTGGTTTAGTTACAATCAGTCTTAATAACAATAAATCACGAACAATATGTATCTCTTGTGTGTTTACAGTGTTTAAGTTGTTTTGCGCGTTTATGTTCATTAACGTGATCGGCAAGCGTTTTCAGTTGCTAAGTTAGACATACATTTCAGTACCAGTTACATTTAATCCTGTTTCTTGTCATTATTATACTTCTGTTATCTTTTCATAATGAAGCTAGTTTTATTTTCGTAACTACCTCTTCAGTAAGCAAATTTTATTTTGTTAATTCTTCTCCTTTTATCAATTTCGATGGGTGATTAGATATTAACAATCAGAGAATGACACAACAACCATGTAAATATCAACAAGGATGGTGAAAAAAGAATATGATGATGTGATGAGATGCCATGTCAAAGAATAACACTCGATAACGTCAACAGCCCAATTATTTAAGAGGTAAATAACTCATTTAGCGATCAATATTCGCTTAAAAAAGGTACTTTCCTCACAAAATTCCATTTCTGAGAATGAAACAAATACACACAACAACAAGGAAGTTGAGATGGAACCACAGGTAAAGGAGATTTACCGAATTCAATAAGAAGCACAACAAAGATTTTAATAATTATATTAAGTTCATCATTTGTTTAAAGACAGAGAGCCTTTCCCTTCACCTCAAGAGCCGCTCAAAGATTTAGTTGTAAGTAAGAGAGTTAGGATCTCGAGAACATCGGAGTAGCTTGCTATTGCCAGTTTCTTTTGAAAAGTGTATTGTTGTAGCAGAAGGACCTAGAAATTTGAATATTATGCATTCCACTTAAAATTCTTTTTAACTGATTTGGCTTGGCGCAAAGTTAAGAACATTTTATAGTATAACTTGAGATCAGAAGTCAGAATACGTTTACATGAGAGCAAAAGTTACTAAATTATACGCGATCTTTGATTCTGGGGAAGCGGTTGTAACCCCAAATAGAGAGAACTAAGGAGCTGAGCACTCGTAAGACAAACCTGACGTACACAGGCCTGAGCAAAGCTGTCGATGTTTTGCATGTAAGCCTTTAGGGAACGTCAGCTTTACGTCATTTTCCATTCACAATGCGTTTTCCATTGTATGATTGCATTATAATTCAGTTAAAGCGAAGTGGAAAATGTGAAATAATTCTCAAATTTTGTGCTCTTTTTACTGTCTCATGAATTGCCTTGTGTGCTCTTTCCTCATTGATCTTGTTATGGGGTGTTCAACTCAGGATAAGGGAATCAACCCACGAAATCATTAAAAAACCATGTGTTTATACCAGTTCACTAGATGAGTAGGCAAATCGAGAGCATGAAAGAAATCACCGATTATTTCACTGGAAAGAGACAATTGGCAGTTACAAGAAAAAAGAAATGACTCAACAGCTGTCTCACTTTAAATACTAAATCACTGAAACCGAAAGGCAATTTTCACTATTATTCTACCAAAACTGTTTTGGTGAATAATAGATCGTTTCACGTGACGTCACATCATTTCCGGTCGCCATATTTGTGCACAACCCAGGGTAATATTATATATGCAAATAATAAGCACATCAATAATTTCTGCCTGTAAAAATGAATACTACAGCAACGGAAGCAAAATTAAGTGCCAATACTGATATCATTATCCATCCTCCTCTTTCTGAGTACGCCAAGAAGCTAGAACCACAAGTAAGGCAGCGTTATTTGGAAAAAATTTCGGCGATTGGGATCTATCCCGTCCTTATTTAGAGTAAGAATTTTCAACCAGACTGCTTGCCTCCAGTTGAATCTACAGATCTCCTTTTCTATCTGGTTTTGGAGACGAGCTTCTACACGCAACAACAGTTTAAGGCTTTCCGAAGCCTGGAAGCCAACAATCAGATGGTTTCGGGATTTATAACCAGCGTAAAAGGCCACATAATCGCAAACAAATTTGTTGTGTTAGCCAAGGTGAGACATTCGCAGAGAATG